GAAGGTCTGAAAATTCGACCGCGTTTATTTTAAATTGATCGTGTTTCAAATGGATCACGTTCATGACAAGGCGCTGACAGTTACCGCTGTGATTCCTATTGTTTAGCTCGAGTTTTCCAAAATTTGCCTGCCCCACCCAAGCACTACGGCGTCTTTGATGTTTTTGCCGATTTTCAAAGTTTTTTCTAACTTGAAAACTCGGGGTCGCACTTAGCAATGTCCACTGATGACAGATTTCTACCGCAATGTAAACAAATTCTCCCAAAAATTTGCCAAGTGCGACCCATGCCTAAGAAAAGATGAACAGATGAAACAATATCAGTGGATAAAAATAGAATGGAAACCGAATAATAAGCCGGAGCAAAAATGTGACAATAAGTAAATATTAGTATTTCACGCAAGGACATTTTAAATCAGAGATTACTGAGATAAAGGTAATATACTGAGTAAGAGAAATGTTCAAGGAGCCCCGTGTAGAAACTCAGCTGGGGAGAGAGAGTATAACAGTAAAATACAATAGGCTTCGCTTGACAAGATTTTCAATCTCAGCGTCTACAGAGTGAATACATACTAAATACTTTATATGGGATTCCTACAATAGTCTCTGTTATACATATCATACTTGCAGTTAATTTTGATGTTTAAATGCATTTAATAGGTGAGGGCTCGTGGAAATGTAAATTCAAAGCCTTTCAAATTCAATTATGTGAATGACAAGACGTGGGCCTCCTTAATAGAACAGTCGGTTGGTCCAGTGAAGTCATACACTGCACTGCCAAAGAAACAGTCTCGTGAGTTGTTTTCGGTAGCGTTGGTAAGTATAAGGTTTATCATTAGTTTTTAAAGAGGAACGATAAAATGCGGGCCTGTTGGTCCGTCGTAAATCTTAAGTGTATTGAACGGCCATTGCACCTAAGCCTGCAAATGGTCTTAACACTCTCACTATGATGATCGTTTAAGAAGCATGTGCATAAGTTCTCTGTAGCGCTCAAGTTCTACCCAGTGCTGTCTCTAATATATGTGCCTTTCCGTTAGTGATAATAACCGGCATCACAAGTTTCGATTAACACTTATCCGTGATAGACTAGGACTTATCGACGTAGGAGAAGGTGACTTATTGTTCTTAACGTTCTTGTTGCTTGGTAATACTGCAGACAACTCCTTTCGAAGGACACCCGTTGGGTCCAGTACGGAATATCCCTCTTAGACAACTGTCCGCCCAAAGAAGTCAGATAACAGGGACCAACTCTCTGTGACTGAAAAGACAGAGTTAAAATAAGTACTTGGTCCGCCCGTGGACTACAGCCATCATGTTTTAACCGGAGGGTTGTTACTTTTAAGTACAATATTTTGTTGTCCTCTGCAGGTTGTATTTCTTATACATGGATGCAGTTATTGTGTTCAGGTTCTACCAACAATCGAAAAGATATCAGTAGATGCCAAGTATTTAGGTATGTGTTGTCCGACCTTTTTGGTTTTTCTTGTCGGTCTCCTGTAACTATATCTCACTGCTGAGATATTCACTTGGCCCCAGTTGTTCAAAAGGTGAATGATGCTATCCAATGGATAAATCTCTATCCAATGCATAGCGCAATTAGTTTCCCTACTACTCATCTACTGGATAGTCATTTATCCGGTGGAAAGCGCTATCCAGCTTATGAATCACTACCTGGGGCCAGGTCCTCTGAAAATGAGGCAAACTAACTGTTGGCCCAAGATAAAACATGTTAGGTACCAGTTCAGAATCGTATGACTATTAATAGGTTCCTGGTGAACGCAAAAACTTACTTCCGGACGTGTTTGTTAACTTGACCCGGGATGCTCCTATCTGGCTTTAAAAATGCGCGAATGCAATTTCTCCATTGATCACATTTATGATGTTTGGTGGAAAACAATTACGACACCGCAATTCACCATTAAAATAGTCAGGGGCACCCAACGACTGTTTTCTGCAGAATATCTGTTCGGACAAGCAAATGTTGCCTAGAAGTTTCCTTTACATGAGGACGGCTGAAAATTTCTTGACGACCGCTCCATTCATGTACAATTTTCGAAGCTCAACTAATAAATTCCCTACGATTTTCGGAAGTTTGGTTTTTCACATTTCACTCCTCAGGTTAGGCTATTTTTCGTAGAAAAAAGGAAACCTAAAATTTTCGGATTTAAAAATGTGATAGAAAGGG